AAAGAGGAGAGAGGGAAAGTGAGAAAACGAGCCACCAGGGCTGGAACTTGAACTGCAGTCAGTCACGTGGGAGCACAGTGCCCTTAACCACCACGTCACCTGCTGGCCCTTTATTATTTTTTAAAAATAATTATTTTATTTAACTTTATTTATCCATCTATCTATCCATCTATTTATTTTATTTTGACCAGAAAAGGACAGTGTGAGAGTAAGAGAAAGTGAGGAAACAAGCTGCCAGGTCCACGACTTGAAACACCATGTAGGAGAGTCCAATGCCCTTAACCACACCACCTGCTGGCCCCTTATTTATTTATGATTATTACTTTTAATTTTTAAGATTGCCATAGGGCATGTGTATTCATCAGAGAGAGGGTGAGAGAGAGAGAAAAAGAAATCACCAGGTCCGGCACTCAAACTACGGTGGGCTAGGTGGGAGTCCAGCACCTTAACTACCAGGTCACCTACTAGCCCCCATTATTATTTTTTAGAAGAATTATTTATTTAATTTTATCATTATTCTCATTTTTTGTCTTTAATTTGCTATACAGCATGTGTGCTCACGAGAGAGAGAGAGAGACAGACAGAGAAAGAGAGACAGCAAGTCACCAGGTCCAGGACTCGGACCGCAGTAGTCATGTGGGAGTCCAGTGCCTTAACCACCATGCCACCTGCTGGTTCAGCTTTATTTATTATTATTATTATTTAATTTGACGAGACAGGTGGAGAGAGAGAGGGAAAGTGAGAAAGCAAGCCTTGGGTCCAGGACTTGAACCATAGTCAGCCATGTGGGGGAGGCTAGCACCTCAACCACTATTCCACCTGCCAAACCCTCTAACTTTTCATGGTTAAGTATGTTTTTTTTTTTTTTTTGGAGAGATTTTCACTGTAGGGCGCGTGCGCTCACCAGACAGACAGACAGAGACAGAAAGCGAGAAATCACCCCCCAGGGGGGATGGTCACGCCGCAATCCCTTCTCCTCCATTCTCCTCTCAGGATCTTGGGCACGCACG